CCTCCATTGTAGGTATTTCAATAGTTTTTCATCTTTGTGCAGTTACCATATTCAAAGCTAATCTTCCATGAGTCTTTTCTAAATGACAGTCCATAAGTTCCAGTAAGAAACATTCTGGTTTCATCCGATTAGCCTTTAAAATTCTTTGTATTGATATATGTATTTGTATCAAATTTTTTTTTTGCAAATCTACCAGGTACAGTAAAATGACCCCTTTGTGTTTTCCACATTTTTAACATTAACTAGAAGTACTTTTATACATCTTAGAAAATTTCTCTGGTTTCATCTACCAGATAACATCATTTTTAGTAAAATCTCCTGCTAACAAAATTCTGCCCCAGTTTCCTTTGGGGGGGGGGGACTTAGAGCCTCTTAGACAACCTTTGGGGCTGTCCTCTCGGAGCTCTTTCCTTCCCAGACTCCTCAGGGGCCCCCACAGTCCCCACTGGTCTGCATTCCCTGGGAAAGCTCAGCATCCTCCGAGACGGGCAAGTCGCTCTTGACTTATGATCACAGCTGAGCCCCAAAGTTCCATGGCTAAGCAGGATAGTTGTTTAAGCAAGTTTTGCCCCATTTTATGACCTTTCTTGTCACAGTTATTAAGTGAATAACTGTAACATGGTTATTAAATGAATTGGGCTTCCCCATCGACTTAGCTAGTCAGAAGGTTGCAAAAGGGGATCACATGACCTCAGGACCCTGCAACCATCATAAATGTGAGTCAGTTGCCAAACATCGGAATTTTGATTAGGCGATCATGGGGATGCTGCAACAGTCGTAAGTCACCTTTTTCAGTGCCGTTATAACTTCTAACAGTCACTAAATGAAGTGTTGTAGGTAAGGACTACCTATACTGCCTTGAAAACAGCCCAGATTGAATTGCAGAGCGCAGTCAAACAAACATTGGTGCAGGAAATGTTTTATATTTTATGTTATGTTATAAACTTTTTATGATAATTTTGCTGTCGTAAAATGGTTTATAAAATTTGCCAATTTCAGTGCCATGGGAGTCATGAATTCAGGATTTTGGATGCATTCTGTAAGTTAGCCCTTTTGAGATACTTTGCCATTTGGAGCCCTGTTTTGCCCAGTTAAAGGTTACAGGAGTTGTTTAGAAGTCTACAGATTCCGCCAGTGGTGCTTTAAACAACAGGGTCTGCTGAGGATAGGCAGACGATTTAATCCTTGTAATACTAATATTGGGAGTAAGATGGAGGGGCTACCAGAGGGACTACTCTAATACTGTCAGTGCAAAAGCACTGCTCCTGTCTTTTATAGGTTGTTTTGCAGTTTTAAAAAAGATGGATAAAACATTGGGAAAATAGGAGTAACAAGTGGAAAATGCATCTTCTTTCCACTGCTGGCAAAACACATTAAACCAGGCCAGGAGATTGCATAATAAAGCCTCATTTAGAATGCCCTTCTCTCTATGAGTGGTCCTCACTTAGGGACCACTCACTCAGCTAGTGTTCCAAGTTGCAATACCACTGTGTTGTCCCACTCGCTCGCTCACACACATGTAACTGTGGTTTAGTGAGTTTATTAATATTCCCCAGCAATTCCCTTCACCGAAAAACCCAGAACTGTCCCAATTAAGTCCAGCCACAAGTAGACCAATGCTAGTCTACAGAACAATAGCCAAAGAGTTCACAAGGCACTTGAAAGTTTCTCAGTCAAAACAAACCCACCAGGTGAAATTAAATCCACAATCCAAGAGGGTTCACAAGGCAAGAGACGTCCAAAGTTTCCAAGATATGATTCAAGTCAAGTCCCAAAGGTGCTTTTTTCAGGAGGCAACTGGACTTTCTTGTTTTTCTTGAAGACGTTTTGCTTCTCATCCAAGAAGCTCCTTCAGCTCTATTGGATGGTGGGGAATCTTCAGTCAGACTTGAAGCTTCTCGGATGAGAAGCAAACATCTTCAAGAAAAACAAGAAAGTCCAGTTGTCTCGTGAAAAAAAGCATCTTTGGGACAACAATGACCTGGATGACTGAGAATCTCCATAGATTCAAGTCAAGGTAGAGTCAATCCAAAGTGCAGCTAGGAAACACATTGTTCCCAGCAAGGCCTCCCTCTGTCTGCTGGGCTAAATAGCCAGCTTCCAGTGCAGCCCATGAAGAAAGGCACTGCTTTCTCCTTGTGTGACCACCGCTGCTTCTGCCTTTTCTCTGCCCTGCGTGTTCTTGGATCAGAGGCAGAAGGCAGTTCCTCTTCCTCATCCTTAAACTGCTGCAGCTGCATGTTTTCCCCATCTGGAGCCTCGGCCAAATTGACAGAATGTCAAAGCAAGAATATACAGTATTTGCAGCAGACTGCTCGGAGCCATCAATCAACTCAGCTCCTAACATGCCAGAAACTGGTTCATTCCCCCCCCTCCCCCAGCTGACATCTAGAGAAGTATCTGGGGAAACATTTGGGGGAGTCATCACAACCACTGATCAAGAGGGGGCTTACACCATTTTCAAAGTTCTGGCCATCCCAACACCCTTGCAGCCAAGTGGTCGCAGTCCGGGGACTTGCAGCTGGCTCACACTTAGGATGTTTGCAGTGTCCTGCAGTCATGTGATTGCTTTTTGCAAACTTTCTTGCCGCGTCCCATAAGCAAAGTCAATAAGGAAGCTGGCAGGGAAGATCTGAAGTCGCTCTGGTAAGTCTGCCCAGCCTTCCTTCGCTTGCACCCGGCTGTGCCATTCACCCTCAGCCTTCTGTGTTCCTGGCAGCCTGTGCTGGGCTTCCCCACAGCCCCGTGGCACCTGTGTGCTCCTGACTGGGACTGCCAGGATTGTCATTACTAAGCGATGCAGTCTCATGATGTCACGTTATATGACTGCATAGCTTAATAACAGCAATCCTGGTCCTAACTGTAAGACAAGGACTATTTGTACTCAGCTTGCAACTTAAAAGATACACATGCATGGTGAAAATTCCCCCAAGTGAAGCTTTTGCTTGCTATGTGCAGAAACAATTCACTTTTACGATGCATGTCTAGATAGAAACAATGATGCATCATTCATAATACATAAAAGCTTGCTCAGTTGTGATATTTCATTGTTATGCCTAATGCAAGCGCATGTAACGTAATGTGGAGCTTGCTAGACCAGTGTTTCTCAACTTCGGTGACTTTAAGTTACATGGACTTAAGTCCCAGAATTCCCTAGCCAGCTGGGATAGTTCCCAGCAAAGCTGGCTGGGAAATTTTGGGAATTGAAGTCCACCTAAATCGTGGTGGTGAACCTATGGCACAAGTGCCACAGGTGGTACGCAGAGCCCTCTCTGTGGGCATGTGTGCCATCGCCCCCGTCCTAGGCCTTCAGCTGGGTTTTATAAAAACTTTTCGCTTTAGGCCTCCGCCATGTGCAAAAAAGAAAAAAGGTTCAATTAATCAATTTCAACTTCTTGCGGGGCAGGGAGATCTTGCAAAGTTGGAATTGATTGATTGAACTTTTTAGTCCCACCCAGTCTGTTGTTACCACTGCAGCCACGCCCACCCAATGGGCCACACCCACCCAGCACCCGACAATACATAAGTGGGTTTTGGGTTGCAGTTTGGGCACTTGGTCTCTAAAAGGTTCGCCATCACTGACCTAAATGATTGAAACTGCTGAAAAACACTTGCTACCCAATGTGTTCTGCACAGGACCGAAGGACGATGATAAAGTCCATCTATCTTAAAATTGCCAAGGTTGAGAAACATTGTTCCAGTCCATTAAGGGATACGTTGTTTCAGGGGAAAAAAAGCCTCAATCAAAAATCTAGGGAGGATGGTCCAGGAATGTTTTTGGAAAATAACTCTTCCTTTCAGAAATACATGGAATTGTTGGGTGAAATTGTTAGTTTGGGTTTGTGCACTTGAGCAGATAGATTTGCACTTGTACGCAGCTACATTAGTTTAGACTAGCCTGGATAAGGGAGTTGGGGGACAACTCTGTTCAGAGAGGGCACTTCTGCTACGAACCAGCTCCTGGACTAACTGGCTGCTGAGGAAGATGCCTGCCAAAGATTCAGCTGCTGGGTACTGGGAAAATGGCCTTCTCCTCAGTTAGCTGTCCCAGACTATGGAGGGGCTGCCAAGGAGGCCCCCTTGGCCCGATATCCCAGGATTCAGGAATATGGCAAGTGCCCACCAGCTTTTCTCAACCATCCTTGTTGGTGTATATAGAGAAAATGGAGCATACATTCAGGATCAATTGGACAATCCGCAAGCAAGCTTTTGAGTGGTCTGCCACCTGGCACCAGGTTCCTGAGTGCACAGGGCAGGGGAACAGCATTAAATGAATCCATTTTCTCCGTTTATACCAGCGTTTCTCAACGTCTGTGTGACAGCAACCCCCGTCACACAAACGTGCCATGCATGCGCGGCGGCGCCCCCATGCACGGCGCACATGCGCAGTGCCACCCCCTGAGGGGGAAAAAATGGCAGCTCACATTATTTGGCGACCCCCGTAAAATGGTCGATCGACCCCAAATGGGGTCGCGACCCATAGGTTGAGAACCGCTGGTTTATACAATACTGTATCTGTGACCAAACGAAAAGGGCTCGCAGAACATGATGCAGAATTCTTTCAAAGGGTCGTCTTTCAAGAGAAGCCCCGCTGATTTAGAGGCCTCCAGTTCAGTGTCCCCTGTTGGTTGTGCTGATCTGGAGCTGGGGTGAGGACGGGGGGGGGGAAGGGTTGCTACTTTGCCCGGGGGTTGACATTGGGGTTGCCTTTCACACGACCAAGGGCAAGTCTTCGCTTCAAAAAGGCAGGAAGACGGGGCCCGGCCGCCTACCCACCCGGGAGAAAAACGGCAGAGCAAAACCGGCGCGCATCCATCGCCGGTTGGCCGCGAGCGAGATGCTCCCGGGCCTCTCCTGCCGGGGCTGCCCGGAGCGCCCGCTGCCCCTCCCCGGGCGCGCGCCGAGCGGCCTTCGCCGAGGGGGCGCCGCGCCGGGGAAGCCCCGAGGCGGGGAGGGCGAGGCCCGCCCGAGAAGGGCGGGAGAGCAGCAGGCGCGTCGGGGCGGGGGCTCCAGAGCGCCGGCCCCGAATAAAGGCGGCGCGCTTGGCCGAAGCTCTTAGCCTGCCGACGAGTCGCTCCTGCCGCCCAGCGAAGCTCCCAGCCGAGACGCCCGCAGCCCCGGACGCCCAGCCCGCCGGCACGATGCCGAAAACGGTATGCGGGGCCGGGAGGCCGCGGGCTGGAGGCGCCCTTCCTCCTTCGACGGCGGCGCCTCGCGACCATCCCCCGGTGTGCGCGTGGGCGGAAGGGCGCCTGGGGGGGGGCGGGGAGGGAGCGGCTGGGGCGCCCACGCAGCCTCCCCTCCTACCGGCCACGGACCTTCGCTGCGCCGCCCCTCCGACCGTGAACCGGGTTCTCGTTCGCGGGAAGGGGCCGAGGCCAGCGCGCCTGGCGGGCGTCCCGCGGTCCCTCCGCACACGCGCTCGCCGCTTCCGGCCGCGGCCGCTCGGGAACTGGGGCGCCCCTCGGCCTCGGAGTCAGGCGGGACCGTCCCTGGCGGCGTTATTGGCAGCCTCGCCCGCTTTGCAAGCGGGCACCGCCCGAAGAGGGCGCTCGGCGCGGCGGAATCTCCCGCGGGAGGCCAGGCCGCGGGGGGCGAGGCAGTCGGGGCCGAGGCGGCGCTGGGCGGGAGTCGCCCGCGATACCAGGGTCGGAGCTCCGGGCTGCCGTCGGGCGGGAAGGGAGGCGCGGTGGGCGTGGCAGCTTTCCTGCAGACCCGCCTCGGCGTCTTCGGAGCGGTCCCCGGGGGCCGCGCCGGTGGCTGGCCGGGAACCGCCGTGCTTGGGTGAGGAGTCGGGAGCGGCCGGCCCGGCCCGCGGGGGCCGGTGCTGCGCCTGTGGGAAAGCGGGCCTGGCTCCCGCTCCCGGCCGGCCTTCCCCTCGATCCTGGGGCGGGAAGGCCCCGCGGAGCATCGCCGGCTGCGCTGCGGCCGGCAGGAGGATGCCGCGGCTGCCGAGAGGCGGAGGAGGGCAGAGCCCAGCCGAAGCTTTCCCGCTCTTCAGGCGGAGGGGCGGCGGCTCGGCTGCGGGCGAGCGTTGCAGCAAGGGGCCGAATTTCCCGCGCGTGGCCGTTTACCCACGTGAGGCTCAGAGGCGTCCACGCGGGAAAGGAAGGCAGCAAAGGAGGCGCTTCGGCAGGCTCGACCCCCTCCCCCCCGTTGACTAAAAGGCGCTCGGTCCCTTTAGGGCGCGAGTGGGCCGTCCGGGCCTGCCGCTGGCGGTGGGTCCCCACTTCTGCCCATCCTCAGTGCCAGGAGGGCCCCAGCGCGTGTGCTGGTCGGGGTCGAGGCTGCGTGTTTTTTTTATAAAGAGGTTTCACCGTCCCTTGAGGGGTCTTTCATTATCTGCGTACCTCAGCCAGTTTCTCAACCTTTGTATTTGTATTTAATTTTATTTATATGCTGCCCAATCCCAAAGGACTCAGGGCGGCGTACAGAGTTAAAACAATCATAAAACAATAAAATAATACAGTCATACTGCGAGTCCGATCATATCCCACCCCTCCCCCCCCACATCAGCCCCAGGCCTGCCGGAACAGGAGAGTTTTAACGGCTTTCTTAAAGGCCGGCAGGGTGGGAGTAGTTCGAACCTGGGGGGGCGTTGGTTCCACCAGGTCGGAGCCACCACAGAAAAGGCCCTTCCCTGAGGGCCCACCAGCCGACATTGTGGACCTGAAGGAGGCCCAATCTGTGGGACTTCACTGGTCTCTGGGAACTATGCGGCAGTATGTGGTCCTGTAAGTAACCTGGCCCTATGCCATGAAGGGCTTTAAAGGTGATAACCAACACCTTGAATTGTGTCCGGAGACCCACAGGAAGCCAGTGCAGCTCGCGGAGGATAGGTGACACGGGGGGACTTCAACTCCCAGAATTCCGTAGCCAGCAGGACCTGCTTGCTGTAGTGTCTGGCCAGTGGCTTTGGGTGCATTTATTTATATTGTTTCCTAGGTTTACCTCTTGACTTTCAGTAGCTCAAGGCCATGTCCTGGCATTCCTTTCTCCCATCACCCTTGCCTCGGTGGGGAAAGGCGGGATGATTCCTTTGGGCATATAGCCTGAGCACTTAGGGATTTCGGCCAGAGGCCTTTCCCAGCAATCACTGTCTGAACCTCCTTGATCTGATCTGGAGACCCCATGGAGGAAATGTGGACCTTCTTGCTGCCAGGCCTGAGTATTTTCCTGTTGTCTTCATGCACAAGAACATTGGTGGAAGAGTTGCAAGGCCGGCATCTCATTTCTAATAGTATCAGATATCTTTGGAAAGCCTTGTCTTGTCCTCCTTGTTTGCAGAGAAATAAAACCTGCACCTACCGTACTCACAGTAGTAGCCATGGTTGATCTAAGGTGGCGGTGGGGGAGTGTTAATTAATTTTCTCAAGGGGCCACATCAAAAACTGGGACTGTTGTGGAGGGCTGAACCAATAGAACTGAAGGTGTGTAAGTATCACGTGTGCACATGTGTAAATTGAAAAAATAGTTGCCTTCAAAACAAAAGCAATGTACTGTTATTTACATTGGATTTTTAATTTCCAAGTGATCTCACATGGGCCAGACAGGGACAGCCTAAGGACCAGCTGTGGCCCTGAGTCTGGACAAGGCCGTGGTCCGGCATTATTAGATCAACCAGACAGGGAACACACCCAGATAAGATTAATTCTGCTTTATGGCAAAGCTGCATTAACAGAATCTTACAAATCTGAAAGTACAATTCTGTAGCCTGAGAACTTAGGGAGGGTTCCTTCTAAGTCTCTTGCCCACCCACTACCCAGCCACAGGTTGTGCCCTCTTGTCTGGCCATTCCTAGGCAACATCTCTTTGCGCCTCTTCCCCGAAGTCATTCTGACATAACCATCGCAAGATGTGAGCACCAGGGACTCCTGATGCTGATAAGAATTGTAGTTGGACCCGTGCAGAAAGTTAGAGATCAGGGCAGGCTGCTGAGGGACTGAGGTTCCAGTTTAGGGACCCAAACGCTAATTCCATGCTAAGGTAACTTGTGGCTGGAGAGCTTTGAACTTTTGAGAAATCACTGGTTCACTGACTGCTCATAACAATGGCTGCTGTGTGGGTGCAGCTGTTTACCAACTGGTCCTTTAGCAGAGAGCAGCAATGCTTGAGGATGCTCTGTGCCATCCCTTCTGGGAAGCTCTCGCTCACCTGCCTCACCTGCATCTTGCATGGGATTGGTTGGCACCCTCCCAAATGAAGCCATGTTTATTTTTGAAGAATGCCAAAGGGGCTGCTACCCTTGGAGGTTGGCCTATTAACTTGTGTTGTTTTCTAATGTTCTTTAAGTTAAAAATAAGTCAGATGGTGTAGAGAGATTTAGCCCTCCAGGAGAACCCATTGATGCCAAGCAGGAGCAAGGCAGAGCTCACAGCTACAGTTGGGGGGGAGGGTGCATGGCATGGGGAGCAGCATGTGGCTCAATGCCTCTGGAGACTGGAGGTGTGTGCCTGTGACATGGGGCACCTTGGCTTGGGGGACTGATGGGAGCTCCCCAGTTTGTTAATCACTCTTGTGGTTGGCCTGGTTTTGCTGCCTTATGTTGGACCATGGCCAATGGCTTCAGAGAGCTTCCGTATCTTGTGTTCTTCCTTGTGCCTTTCAAAATTGAATTTCAGAGTTTTCCCTGTGATGTGCTGAAATACACATAGCTGATGTGAGATGTAATAAGCTGTATCTTTCTGACTATTGGCTTTGGAAAAAGGGTTTTGAACTGAAATCATTGCAGATCTTCCCTCTGCTGAGCAAATGTTACTTTGGAGTTGGTAAATGAATTCAGAGGTGCTGCAGAGCCTTGTCTGAGCTTGACTTGCTCAGAAAGGTCAGGTTTGTTAAATGTTGAGTGTCAAGTCTGTACTTGACTTCCTTTTGAGGAAAAACAGGAAGATTTTAAGAGAAGAAGGGATAATCTTGGCTTATTTTCTAGCTGAAAACTTTAAGAAACAAAATAGACTAGTTTGATTAGCTCACAACAGAGGAGAATGTTTTTCAAAGTGGCGTAGATGGGGGTGGGGGAAATGCCACGCACAGCTTCCTTAAAATACTAAGGGTATTGTGAATGGATTCCCCTCTCTCACTGCTGGCAAAAGATCAGTTTGATTCTCTAACTCCTTGTTCCTTAGATTGTACAATAGCTCCTTTAAAGGGATGGGTGGTATTTGATACTTGAGTGGTATAACCTTTGAAATGAGATGGAGCTGCAGCTTTCATTTCTTCAGTTTTTTTAAAAGCCCTGCCATTTTTAGAAAGAAAGACACCAAAAGGCTTCTTTGTTCCTAGGCAGGAGGGCTTTTTTTTGACATGCCAGGCTAGCACCACTGTGAGGTTTGCAGACCTTCTGTTGAGAAGGCGGATGTTGTAACAACCCCCCCTCCCCTCTCTTCCTGTTCCCTTCAGAGGCCCACCTTCTGCGCCGCCTTCCTCCCCCTGGCCTGGGGCCATCAACAAGCAATCCACATTCAGCTTTTCAGACATTGGGTACATTTGCAACCATCTACAGCTGTGATTTCACAGCTTGAAGGTGGATTTGGGGAACACATCCATGAGGCTGTCCTTCTGAACCCAATTCCAGCTGGAGTCCTAAAGGCAGAGGTCATCTGCAGCCATGCCTCCTGGGCACCACTTACGGCCAGAGGACTCATGTGCTAATTGTCCTGGCTTCCAGTGATAATGGATAGATGCTATTTTGTCTGATCTAATTTTATATTAAAAAAATTAAAGCCAGAATTCTTGGGATTGATTAGTTACTTAAGTTACATGGCTGAATGGTCACCTAGGAAATTCTGGGAGTCAAAGCCATTCAGCCATGCCGGCTTAGGAATTCTGGGAGCTGAATTCTACACATCTTAAAGTTGCCAAGATTGAGAAAGACTGTCTCACTATTTGCAATTATTGTAAATGATAAACTAAGAATGCCTGCTTAGCCTTCTTAGGGCAACAGTATGTCTTCAGTGAGCCTGAGTAGTATTCTTGTTTTAAATGTGCCAGAATTACCCTGGTGATCTAAGAAGTGCTCCTTTTCACAGACAGAATTCTGTATTTGGGTATTATTTATTTTTTATGTTGTTCAATTTTTAGAGCTGGCTATCTTGGATGCAAGATTAAGTCTTAGATTTTTGTATTTTTGTTAATCCCACCTTTATTATTTTTA